ACCATGTTGGATACTGTATGTGAGAGTGAAACTGCTAAACAACAACAGTAAACAACAACAACAACAACAAAAATAGGCAATGATAGTGCAGCATGGTGACCGAGCAAGCTTTTATGATGCCTCTTCAGCCAGCATAAAATTGCCGCACTGGCGTGTATGTATGTGTGTGTGTTTGTGTGTATTCATATACAAAGAGATTCAGATGATTTGCAGTGAAGAAGCAGGGCTTTAGGTGTATCAAGCTGGCTTTTTATTGTGAGTACATTGTCATAACAGAACGGGCAAAAAGCCTATAAAAGTTATTTACTACCCAGTTGTAGTCTTACATACGGTTACCAGTGAGACAGAGCAATCCACAGTTAAATGCTACGATGATTATAACCTATAGGCATACAATAAAAGAAATATACCAACAGATCCCTGGGAATGAATGAGAAATATACAACCTATAGTACTGTATCTTCACTTAATGCTATTCCAATAGATATGCAACACAATATACTGAATAATGCAAACATTTGCAGAACAAACAACATGGTTTTGTTCAAGAATGTATGTTTCGTGACCCAATGAGTGTTATACTAACAAGAGCTTACCTTGGAGATGGTTATCTGGAGGCTTCTGTGAGTTATGCATATGTATGCACACTGTGAAGATAAAACTGTTAGACACAGCATACTGTATGTATATGGGAAAGCGGTGAAAAAAAGGCCATCAGGGAATTTTATTTGATAGTATTGTTCCTAAACTATTTAGAATAGACATTCACATTTAAACAAAAATACAATGTTTTTTGACAGGTGTCAAAGGCAAATTTCAATTGGTATATAAACTTTGAACTATTCAATTTGGTCTGGCCTTGTGGCATTCTGATCTGTCTCTGCAAATTAACCTCAGAGCAAGACTTTTGATCCAGTTGATATTTGGACTGGTAAGAGCAGGAGCAAGGGAAATACAGCACATTGACATTCCTCCTCCTATCTGGTAATGAAATTGCTTAGCGCTATTGCATCCTTTCAAGCATCACACTGTGCTCGCTCATATGGATTTAATCCTGTTTAGAGAGGCTGTTGCTGAGGGCATTCGGCACAATGCCAGTTTGAAAGTAATCCATTGAGTCTTAAATAAGTTGGCCTCTTTCAAGTATAAAAATCTGAATCAGCTTATTGGAAATTAATCATCGAAACTGATCTGAAATCTTGAGCATGTTAAATTTTGACATGCTGATTACAATCTCTTTTGTCCATTATCCTCATTGTTTGGATGTGCAATATTGCCACTACCAGTACTCCACTGTTAATTCTTTTGACATGAACAATTGATGATAGATGTGTTCCTTTTCAGAGTCCAACTTTAAATTTAAGCTTTATTGTGGTCCTAAAACAGTCAAATATCAGGTTTCAAGGACCAGTAACATTCTGAAATCATTTAACTCAACAACCAACTCTATTGAAATCCAGAAAAGAACAAGAATGTTTTTTCTTTTTGCTTTCATTCAATTCTTAATATTAGACCATAATCTCAAAATCTTATAGTGCTGTATATTTAATTTTCCTGTCCATTTAACTGAAAATGATAAAAGCTAATGGTATTGGAAATCTACCTTTAAAGCATGGTAATACTGCAGACTCAATTAGACTGAAAGCATGGGAGATAAGACAAAGGAAATGACATTATCACACTGGCAGAGTAGTATAATTCTCCCTGTTGACACAGTAGATAACACGATGACTTCGATATGACTGGAGGATTATAATAGCCAGATTTGATGACCGCAAAATGTCCTCTATGCTCCTAATAGAGTGTCTCTTGTAAGCAAATTGCCTTGGTTTATCTCACAGAAGTACTCTCTTCCTTATGCTTTTACAAGGTTTTTAAATCCCATCTAGTGATGGCCTATAATACAGGTTTTGAGAGGTTATATTGTATGTGAAGTGATTTCTGCATGTTGTAGATTGTAAATAAAGGTTAAAGATACCCAATTTCAAGGGCGTAACTTCTGTTTGAAAAGTGGGATGGGGGTGGAGGGGGCAGGGGGGCGCAATAAAATGGGGGTCTGGAAATGGAAATGCGATTCAAATGTGTTACATTAATCCAATTTCCTGCGTACATGTTACCAATACAAAATCCGGAAAATAATTAGGTAATTTGATAGTATCATAAGTGCCTTTTTTTTTAAAAAGCGGATCTAAAAGCAGATTTTCAATCGACAGATAAAATAACAGGGAAACTCGGCATGCCGCCACTTTAGAAAAGCAGACAGGAGCCCCTGCACAAAAACTAAGCACTACACTGCTTTACCACCTAAAAGAAGGCCTACCTATCAGTTTAAGTGTACCGCTTTACCTTGCCATAGTACAGCCCTTTCTGATGGGAAACTGAAACATTACATTGTTCCCTTCAGAGCCACCAGACTCCTTTGACAAAAACAGAAATGTTACCTCTCTGAACACACAAGTTGCTTGTCTACCGCTGCCTCGATCGGCCGCAACTAAGTCACAATAACACAAACAAGCTAACCATAACTTTACTGAACATAACATGTTGAGTTTGTAATTCTGATAGATATTTGACTGACTGACTGAGATATATAGTTTTATGGCACATTATTGTGGTACTATCAATAATATGTGTGTTAGCTATTTTATGTACGTCTAGTGTGTAGTTATAGAGTATTGGTTTTGTGATATTACATGTGGCTTTGGTTCTACCATATCACAGTGTCACTCAAAATGCATGCCTTTTGTAATCCCCCTTTGCAGAAGTGACAATCTTATCTAACATGTATTTCTGTAGAGTAGTAGAGTCAACCTATTTGTCCTCAAAGTTAAAATAAATGGTTCATTATTGATATTTTTTTTCAATTAGTCCAACAATTATTCAGTCTATAGTTACCAGAACCAAAAATATCTAGTGTGACCTATGTAGTGTGACCAACAGTCAGTAAATCCATTAATACAGTTACAGTGATGCAAGATAATCTTTGCATTTACACTGATCAGCCATAACATTATGACCACTGACTGCTGAAGTTAATGACACTGATTATCTCGTCATCATGGCACCTGTCAGTGGGTGGAATATATTAGGTAGCAAGTGAACATTTTGTCCT